CAACAAGCTCTGTGTAGTAGGTGATCCCTCCTCCCTTCCTTAGATGGCTCAGCGCTGCTTTGTAGGGATAGATATGCAACAGTTCCTTGGCTTGCTGCTCATCGGCTTCTAGAGATGTGAAATGCTGCAGTGTATGGGGGAAGTTGGAGGGGGCTGAGCCGTGCTTGCTGAGTGGAGTATCGGCACTGTGTGATAAGCGATCTTGAAGAACTGACAGGGAGTTTAAGTCACATATATGCAGGCAGTCCCTGCCTGGCCCCCCTGCTGACCTGATGGGGTCGGGCACAGGAGGGCTGCCTGCATACAGTACACAGCATGACGATCCTATATGCCTGAATGTTAATACACAGCACAACGATCTCACCTGGATCCGGGCTTGCCTGACAGACCAATCGACAGGGGACACTAACGAATCAGGAGACGCTGCTGTGTTAGCAGCGGTGGCAGGGTCTAGTGTGGGTCCGCGGGACAAGTGCTGGGAGTACAGTACTGTGGGCTGGAAGTGGATCCAGGGGCAGATGTGAGTCGGCGACGGGCCCCTCCTGACTGCGGGCCCTCGGGCAGTGCCCGACTGCCCGTATAGTCAGTCCGCCGCTGCATCTGATTACCCCTGGCTATGGCCAAGTCCAGAAAAAACAAATCAGAGGTCTGTTTTTACAGCCTTCAGAACTTCTTCAAAGATACCATTTGATACTTTGTTGCTCTTCTGCACCTTTGTGACATCAGAATTTTTCATCTAGGTGACATTCTGATCAGATTCAGCTCCTTCCTTAAATGTCCATTGAGATCTCCCACTAAAAACAAGTTCAATAACTTGTAATAGCTAATAAACATGCAAAATAGTCAGCTGAACTGGACTCCACTTGAGTCACCACAAGGAAGAGTCTTTCTTCTTTGAAAAAAAGATCTGTGAGGTTCAGAAGGTGCTTTTTTTCTGTGATGTAGGGCACTGTAGTGACAGTGAGGGACTGTATGAAGTTCCTAGACTTAAGTGGGGTATGCATGGTTCTATTTTTTACGTGCAACCCGCAGGCTGAAGAAAAAAATAAAACAGATTCCTCTGTCAACGCTTACGAGCATTGATGGACGATTCCCCTGCTGCTTGCATTGTATTCTAACATAGGCCGCCAGCTGCCGTCAGAATACCCGGACGGAGCAAGCAGCTGATTGGCTGATAGCTTTGTTCGGTTGAGAATTTTACAACTGGCTACCTCGATCAGCTGATCAAGGGATACTGGGCGGAAGGTTGCCAACAGCAGCACCCACGGTACGAATACATTTGAACTGTATATACTAGGGCTGCACTGATACCGGTTTTTCGGTACCGAGTACTGATATTTTTTTCCCCGGTACTTGCCGCTACCGAATACCGATACTGGAAGTCCCATTAAGGAAGCCAGGCGGCATGTAATGACTCGCCACTTGGCTTTCCAATTAGCTGGGAAGCGTGTAAAGACTCGCCACCCGGCTTCCCGATTAGCAGTGAAGCCATCTCCATGCTTCTCGTAGATACTAATACTTGAGCATCTGGTATCAGGAAGCCGAGCAGTGAGCCATTACATGCTGCCCAGCTTCCTGATTGGCCGGGAAGCTGGCTCCATGTGTCACAAGTGACGAGGGAGCATGTTCCCGGCTAATCAGGAAGCCGGGCAGCGTGTAACGACTCACTGCCCGGCTTCCTGATACCAGAAGCTCGAGTATCAGGCTAGGCATCGGAACAAATACTCGGCATCAGCACCAATACTAGTATCGGTATTGGTGCATCCCTAGTGTATACCCTGCCATACCGTCGGCCATGTTTCCAGCAGTTGTGTGGGAAAAATGGCATTGGAAGTTATTTCCATACAACAACAGTAGAACCAAAACCTCTGTGTCTCAGGTGATAACGCTTTGTGGGCTTTTTTCCCCCATGTTGTCAGTAGAAACAGTCTGCAGAGCAGCCAATTGGTCAACATCAAATACCGGGGTCTGGTATAACAAGCTGGATGTGTCAACAGGTCCTAGGGGATAATTTGGTTCTTCTGATATGTTTTCTGCTGTATCTAGTTAATTTGTTTTGCAGCATTTGGTGTATGTATGGGTTTTATTATTCGTCTCCTGCCTGAGCATGATTGCCAGTTATGTCCCAAAGTAGGCAGACATGAGGAAAACAGAAAATTGTTGACCTTAGTGTCATTTTCTGGTGTATCCAGATGTCAGCCAAGCATTTCCACTGGCCATTGTGAGTCTAGCTCTAGAACACCTGCATGTTGGGCAGTCAGGAATTTAAAGGGCTAGTTAGGGGTTGTCCTGGGAGGGTCAGAGGGTGGGGATGGCCCTCAATAGGCTCACATGAGGATGGATCAGGAAAAGAAAATTACAGAAATATATGTCAACAATTTTCTGTTTTCCGTTCTTGGCTGACAGGACTGTAACCTGACGTCATCTTTTACTGTTGTAGCCAATATGTCTCAAGATTGACATGTACATACAGATCAGTTTGACAAAAGGCTGGGGCTTTTTAGGTGCCACAATTAGTACGTATTCATGTGCTTTAGTTAAAAAAAAATTTTATTAGTACAATTTAAAAAGAAAATGTTTAAAAAACACTTTTGCAATTTCAAAGACCGGTTGTACAAAACAAGTATGGGGCAGACAAATTTACATATACATATCTTGTCCAAAGTCTTCTAGCTTGGACACGTTATGAACAGTAGTAGGCTGAACGCGTTTCAATGAGTAAGTGCTTCTTCAGAAAATTTAGCAGAGATCTACAATTCAATCAATCATACATGTTATACAAAACCTCTGTATCTGTACAATATATTACACAGGGTATTCTTCCCTCTCATTATGAAACAATATACATTAGCAATACTTATGTACATAAAATATGAAAACAAATTTACAATAGTAGTAATAAGGATTTACTACAACTTGTAACTGAACTACAGTAACTGAACTAACGGGTCTCCCTGTCTTACCTCTATAAGAAACCTCTATTATGGATCCACAGCACACCATTTTTTTTTAGTTTTGATCTGGTTTTTTCTATTTATTACATGAAAATAAAATAATTTTTTGCAAGACAATATCACAGATAAAAAGCCTTTTTTGCCCTAAAAATTATATAGGTATTACTTTGTTATCTTAAAGTGACACTAAACTCAGGAGTCAAAATCAAGTTCCTTAACTATTACCAAATACTGTATGTTATTTGTGCATTATCGGCTGTAGATCCACAAATCATCTCTGAATTTATGCTGACACCGTCTTTCCTTCTGGAGGGGGGCTACTTTTGTTCGCCATGGTCCCCGTGTGTGCTGTAAAGTAGCCAACGCTACAAGCTTGCTCCAATGATAGACTACAATCTCAATAGAAATTAACAAACCTAAATGTGAGATTGTAATTCATCACAAGTGTGAGCTTGGAGCGGTTAGACCATTTGGGTTATTGCTGAATAAACAAGTCCAAAGCATAAATTTAAAATGAAGCTGGTTCTTAGGGGGTGTACAGGTGTAAGAATGGGTAATTAGGTACCCCTTTTGTGCTACCTGTTTCAAGCTATCAGACACCCTTTCTTTGTCAAAAATGTGTAGCTCATTGTCAGTCATCATCTCTATACTGTGGCAGCCACTGCTCCTCTCAAAATACATACTGATATAACGTACACCCACCCAACACTCCTCAAAACTTACCGAGCTCCCAGCGGGGAGATGCACAGCTTCTTCACTGAAAGCCTCCTGGTCTGGCTCTGCTTCTCTAGATAATTTAGTGTGATTCAGACTGTCTATAAAACAACTTTTTAATAGAGAACAATGCTCTGCATTAACATGTGAGTGGTCTCTGTCAGTCATTCATACCAAGTGAGCAGCCTTTTTAAAGGTGCCCATACACCTTACGATTATCGGACGATTTTCGTTTGTGGTCGCGTTTTCGTCCGATATTTGTAAGGTTGATGGGCAGTGTACAACCGCAAATACTGTACAATCGTACGACTTTTGATTTTCCATCAGGTCAGAAAACTTCGGTAGATCGTACGATTTTCGCAGAACGGTTTGATCATTGGACGCAAATTTTCGTCCGATGACCGCAAGGTGTATGGGCAGCTTCACATTCATGACTCTGGGTGTCATTCCACCTTGAGGACTGAGGACATCTTGTGGTGTAAAAGAGGTACTACAGGAACAGTCATAAAGAAGATGCGAGTATAGCAGCCTGAGTGGCTTCTTTAAATTATTAAATATTCCTAAACCTTGCAGTGGGGCTACCTCATGCACTGCAAGGGTTAAGTACTCGTTTTCATCTAGTGTCGAAAATAAAAAAAAATTGTAGCCAAACCTTGTAGCTGGCGCGGGATTTTAGATATGTGTAATGGTGTGTATTCCCTTACTTGTAGGCTGTTGCTTCTTTGTAAATAATTCCCCCCAGTGCCCTCTTCACAGCTGCTGCGTATTGCACTGAGCGTCTGTCTTCCAGCGTGAGAGTTTACAGCTTCACTCTGTGCTGGTTCTCCTCCCTCTGCTTGCTTTGTCATTCACAGAGCTGCAATTGCTATTATGCCACGCTGCATCTTGTTGTGAATGGCCAATGGAGATTCACAGAACGCAATGCATAGTACTATGAGCTCTGTGAATAGCGGAGGGGGAAATTTACAGAACCAGCATTGGGGGCTGTTAACTCTCAGAGCGCTGGAAGACAGCAGCCCAGGTCAATATCTCGAGGCTGTCAAGGGGCACTGAGGGGACACAGAAGCAGCAGCCTGCAGGTAAGGGAACACCATTACACATATCTAATTTGTTTGGTGTCGTATTCCCCACCCCTACCAAAACAACAAAAATCAAACCTAAACTTCAAGTGACACTAAACTCAAGAGTTAATTCTAAACGAACGGAAGAACAGACCATAACAAGCCTCAACAATCTGACTGTGGGCGTGTAGAGGGCAGAGAGCAATAAAGGGTGAACACAACTGGCTCTGGGAGAAAACCCGGCACTAATGTGCTTGTGCCCCGTTTCCGTAGGGAAGCTGTTGGTAAGCGGACAGAGGGCGGAAGTGGCCGAGAAGGCGGAAGTCCCGGCTCCCCGGTCATGGCACCAATTCTTGTGCTGCTCCTGGCCGGGGTGGTGATTGCATCTCGCGGGGACCGGGAGCCGGTGTACAGGGAGTGTGTGAGCGCCTGTGAACAGAGGAACTGTAGCGGGAGCCGGCTGCAGGACTTCCGGGCTGAGCAGCCCCTCTACATGAGGCTGACTGGTGAGGGGGACCTCTAGTGACAGCTCTGCATAAGGAGATGCCGGGCTGGGGGAGCAGAGTGCAGGGCAGTACATGGTACAGGGAATGTATTAACTGCTTGCTTTTAATTTTTTTAATAAAGTCATATTGTCCTATTCCCCCATTTCTAATACTTGTTGTCCACCAGCAGCTGTAGTCAGTGCGGGAATCCTGTACACAGTTACCATCTTCTTGGCTGAGTAATATTCTTGTTTTCCCAGTGCTGCATCCCAAATTACTAACATTTCTCTGTGAGACTCTTGGTCCGCTATAGACAGGAGGTGCTGTACAATACAATGACAGCTGCTAACCCCTGCATTTGTTTGCATGTAATTGCGCATGCTATGCTACGATTGCCTGCAGATGATCGTACCTGCAAAATGTCTGCACCCAGGATGCAAAAATGTCTGCACACAAAATGGATGCAAATAGTCTGCACCCAGGTGTGGTTGTCTGGAGGTAATTGCAGGAAAATTGTAATGTAAGTAGTGGCAGCTGTCATTCTATTGTATTGTACAGCACCTCTTGCTTACAGCTGCTCACTCCTTGGAGAAATTCACAAGCCTCAGCGATCTAGCCTCACCCACAAGCGTGAATGGGGCTTTTGGCTAAGTGAAACTAGTTATTTTGGTTCCACACAGTACATTGTCAGACTTACCTCTTAGTACACCCTCCTCCAGTACTGCCAAAGTCCATGTTTCCCCTTGTCACTCCATAAATACTGCTGCCATATTCTCTCGGTCTCCTGGGTCTGGAGTATTTAGTCCTCTCTATTGGCCAGCAACAGATAACATAACTGCGGGGCTTGTGCACTGAATTTACTTGGTCCCTCTACCAAGCTTCTTACTGTGGGACTGTACCGCTGCTGCAGTCATTGTGCAATAAAACAAACTAGCAGATAGGGAGAGAGGTTTTATGGCAGAAGAGACATACACAGAGGAATTTATCAAAAAGAATCTGAAGTAGTTGCCAATGACAACCAATCTGCTCTCATTTTCAAAGATTAACCAAACAAAGTGAAGAGAGAAGTTAAATGGATGCTATGGGCAACTGCTCCATATTCTGTATGCTTCAGTTTTGATAAATTCCCCCCTACAGGGTTTCTCCTACCATTTAAAAAAAAAAAAAAAAAATACCTTGAAAGTGTATTTAAACTTTTGCAGGCATAACACCTGTTTGATATTTGTTACATGTTCTTATTCACATAACATAACTTTCTGCTGGCAGACTTCATTATCACGTCATAAACTAGATGAGCAGAACTGTTTGTCCTTACAAAGGTTCAAAGACCTGAAGACAGAATCTGGGGCATTTGCCTATAGTAACCACTCAGCTCCTCTTTTCAGTTTGTTAGTTACGCTTTGAAAATGAAAGATAGAAGCTGATTGGTTGCCATGCAAGATCCAGTAGAAGAGTGATTCACAGCATGTGGTGGGATACACAGGCGCTCAGCATTGTGATTGCTCAGCTCTTGATGTTTAGAGCCGTCATGCGCTGGCTCTATGTTTCGGGAAGACTACATTTTAGTCTCCCAATACTCCTTTAATTTTACCCAACAAGATCAGATTAAAATTATTTGTGAACTATGGCGCCTGAAAAATCCTCTGCATGAGACATGTCCCCGACTGCGCGCTGTTTCCCGCCATAATTTCCCCATTGTCATTGCAAGACACAGTAGTAAAAGCAGATGGAACCACTTAACGCAGTGGGGGAGCAGATATCTGACACAACCAGAAGAAGCTTCTGCAGGTGCTGTAGCTCATCAAGAAATCGTAGATAGGACCCACTGTCTGCCAGAGAGGTAGGTAGTCTTGTTCTTCTGCAGGGTCCTTTAAAAAAAAAAAAAAATAAGGAACTGGTAACATCGCTTTATAATGAACAGGGGTGCACCGAAATGGAAATTTCAAAACCGAAACAAAAAAAATTGTCAGGCCGAAAATGTTTTTTTACATTTTTTTCACATTTTTTATAAACTTTTTATATTTTTATTCATTTTTTTAATTACATTTTTATTAACTTTTAGGGGCTTCGGGGAAATATTAGGGGTCTAAACAGACCCCTGATATTTCCCTTTTTAAAATAGAAAAAGAGATTGAGGACACAGAGTCCTCAATCTCTTTTTCTGCAGCCCCTGTTATCAATGACCAGGAATCCTCTGAGTGTTCCTGTTCATTGATAACATGAGAACAGAATATGTTGACTATAACCACAATTATGAATGAACAGGAGGTGATGTAGATCACTTCCCATTCATTCATAATTGAGCATATAGTCAACATGCTATGTCCTCAATTATCTACAAACACTCAGCGATCACTGAGTGTTTGTACCTGCTCTCCATCCACGCTGTCACAGGAGGCTGAGCGAGCGGTGCGGGGAGATGAGCTCAGCCTCCTGTGACAGCAATGGCAGTCTCCTCCCCCACACCGCTCTGCCGGACTGTGAAAGGAGGCTGAGCGGTGTGGGAGGAGACACGCCGGCCGCTCACAGCGCTCGGCCGGCTGTCACACTTTCTCTCCTCCTCGCTGGGGCACAGAGCAGCGGGGAGGTGCATCCCTAATAATTAATATGGTAAATTCCACTGATGACTTGTGTCTGAAGGTGCAATCTCCATAGCTCTCATCCTTTGCCTTCCTTTAATGCTTGTTGAGTCTCTGGCCTGGAGCAGATGTGCATTTGCAGGTCTATGATTGCCATGTAGAAGACCTGTGCTGAGAGAAAATGAAGGCAGCCATTACTGACTTCAGCTTGTGCAAACCCTCACTGTCACAGTGACCTAGTGGCTTCAGTACTTTTGGAGTCATTGATCCAAACCAAGTAGATGAACAGTTCTGAATCATTGGCTGCTTTGTTTCTCAGTGGCTCACAAACAAATTAAGTCAGACGAATTGCTTTGAAAGCCATGCAACTAGCATTTTCAAAGGAAGGTCACCAAGGGCAGCTTACTTACATGTGTTTTTGAGAAGAATACTGCATGTTCCAAAAAGGCAACATAACTCCACTCTCAATTCAAAAAGGATTATAATCCTGCAAGTTAAATATACAGTATACACTGCTGATGAAGTGAGGAAAATCTGCAGTAAAGTGCAACTAAAACCAAAACTTTTCTTTATGTTTTGGACAGAGAGGAGAGGGACTAGAATACATGTCATGTTTTATTTTATATTGCCATCTGCGACCCCGTTAGGGAGATTCACGCTCTGTTTGTCCTGGGGACCATTATCACCAAGAGTGAAAGAAAATCCCACATTTTAGGTGATCTCCAGAACAAGAATAGAAGGGAAACTTCCAATGGGGACACAAGTTTTGGTGACCACCAGGGATTCCCCTCCCTTTGGAGGGATCTCCTATCACTTCCTGTCATGGCTGTTGGACATGAAATGAAGGATAATCTCCCCAAAAAGAAAAAAATGGAAAACCAGCTGCACTCCTTACCGGAACAATGGAAGATCTGCAACAGCAGGTGGGTGCTTGCAGCGACCACGGACGGCACTGTGTATATCACAGGAGTATCAAGAAAATGTCACCAGCACACCAAAACTAGTTCAGCAAAAGTCAGTTTATTGACACTTTGCCATTCAGTACTGAATGGCAGTGTCAATAAACTGACTTTTGCTGAACTAGTTTTGGTGTGCTGGTGACATTTTCTTGATACTCCTGTGCTATACACGGTGCTGTCATGTGCTGGTGACATTTTCTTGATAATCTCCCCAAAAAGACACAGTAAAAACAACTGACAGGAGATCTATCCCTCCCTTACCGTATTGAAACTGAGAAAGTTTTGGCTTCAGTTCATTTAAACCCAAGAGGTTGGATTCGCAATCTCCTGGGAGTCAGAATTCTGTATATATGTGGAAGAGACCTGAAATCTAGTGGGCTGTATATGATGAGGGGAGTTGTGCTTCCAATCACTTGGCAACCTTGTATTCATTTTTTTTCAAGACGTATAAGGGGGAGGAATAGAAGGGTTGATGGGGCAATAGGTGGGTGAGGGTTAGGAAAAAGGAAGGTGGTGTAGAAGGTGGGGAAGCATTTGTGGGAAGGGGGGGGG